GAGTCGACAGATAAAGTTTGGATCTACAAGTCTTTTCCAGCGTCTAAACACGGTCAGTGGTGGTTTGCCGACGCTTTCAAAACACTAAAGAGGGAAGCCCTCGATTGTGAGACTGAATTTATTCCGATTCATTTGACAAACAAGCGACAAATTGACAAGAATGAAATACAACAACAGCAGCTGCAGCAATAGAGGCAACACCCAACCGCCAACGTCACTCGCGCTTACTATCATCGCGACATGCATAGGAATGCACCTCGTCGCTCTCGTCCTCGTTGGCCAATGCAGATCCACTTGTCCATCTGTGTGTGATCGAAACACAAGTTCTTCTTGATTGGTGTTTCACCCGTTCATTTTCATCCAAACATTTCAAAGAGGATTTCAATGTGCAGATAATAACGTTAAGACGCACGTCTGGGCATTGGCCGATTATCCCTTGCGCCGGGTTTCTATATTGTCAATAAAAGATGGAAAATATTTCGAAAAAAACGGTGTCGACATCACTGAAACGGAATTCGGGATTGCCAGGTCAAGCTCGTCAATATTTCGGGGGACAGCTACAAGGCTCTCCGGAGGCGGGGTTGGCTGGTAGCAGAGAAAGAACGAACCATAAGCAAGAAACAAGTATGGGCCGGAAAGTTCACAGCGTTCGTGGTAGATTGGCAAACGTCAGGAAAGGGCCAGGCCAACCCGTGAGAGAAACACGGCCTTGTCTTCTGGTATGAGCCACATGAGGCCGGGCGAAATATTGAACTTTTTTATCATCGTGCGAGGATTGGTGAGTCCAAACCGCGCGAGGGGATCATTGGAACCTCATTTGTGCCCCCCTGAGACCACGGGCAACGCTACTCTGGCCGGCACGAGACATTGGGGAGGTGTTGGGTAGAGGCGAGAGGGGCTTGTAGTATTGGACATAGTCGCAGCGACACACACGAGATTTCACCGGCGACAGCAACAAAAGCCACAGCAAGAACAACAACAGCGATGACAACAACGAGTGCAGACCTTCCTGTCTCCTGGTGGGCCACGGCAGCCCGGGCGCTGGAAAAGTAGGCGTGGGGCTCGCCCTCTTCCCAAGACCATATGGTTGCCTCAAGCAAACTGCTGTCCATCCTACAACAATTGATTGATTCAATTAGTGGGACTATTAGGCCATGTTCTGAGGGCGGACAACATCCTGGTCAAAGCGGCGCTTGGTCGATAACTTGTTGGCGCACTGATGAAGGGGCGGAAGCGAACCTGGCTGGTGCTAGTCCGTGGGAGACAACGGCCGACTTCAAAAGATGGAAGTGTAGCGGCTCGTGTGGAGTGGAAGCAACCTTCACACACGCAGAACTGGAAATTCTTCACGGACACCTGTCGAACGTTGGGATTAAACCGCACTCAAGGGCGCTTATCGAGTCCTCTGCTCCAAAAAAACTCCTCGGCGGTCGGTCGGAACTCGTACAGCGTGAGGCCGGCGTACTTGATCATGAAGGTCGCAGCATTGCCCTGTTGTTGTGCAGGTTTTGTTCACCGTGGATGCGAAAGAAAACAGAAATGCTTGAGCAAATGACTCATGCCGAGGTTGCTCATACCATGTCTCCAGGTTGCCCATACCTTGGGGTATCACTGGAAAGATCTTTTTACGCCACATTCCGTACGCTCCCCAATCAAATGCAGTTGTGTTGCAGTTCGCGGAACGCAACGGGTGCTCCGATGATGGACGTTATCATAAGTCGGGACAGCCCTCCACCGACGCCAAGGTTTCGTCCGATGAGCGATCACTGTACTCTCGGATACCTACCGTTACAGTTCGACGTCATTTTCATCGTTCTTCCCCTTTGTGTTCCACGCTTCACTATTGTACTACTTGGTAGCTCTTCTTCTGCCACTCTGGCAAAAGTGGGTAACTTGGAGGGTTACGCTACCGCAGAAAGGGAATGCCTTTATTGGGCTATCACGGAAAGGAATAATTTAGCATTTGTCTTTCCCGTCGTCGACTGTTGACTCTCCGGATGAGAGCCATTCCTTCGAGGTTTGGCATGGTGGCACAATAGTGCTTGCCGCATGTCCGTCGGCCTAGTTAGACGTAGCAGGTTGTATGGCTCTGAAGAGGCGATTCAAAACGACCAAATACGACGCAAGCGACGCACACCCCTGATAAAAAAAATCAAGAACATTTCAAGGTTTTCGTTGCACGCACGCTCAGCTGCTTTCCCGATTTGTTGTTTCCCACTAGGATCCGGAACAGGCTGCACTTTCAGCTATGTGCCTGTGTTTGCCACAAGTGCAACACGGGTTTCAACGTAGCGGACAGGCACTATCATGCACTTTCAGTATGGAACTTTAGGTGCCGGCCATGTACCTGCACACGAGACCACGATGGATCCCGGGTCCTCGAAGAACAGGGCACACCAGTCCTGAACTCGACTGCAGTGGAAATATCCTGCCCAAAACATGAACGGAAACAAACAGCGTAGTAAAAAGGGTGGCATGAGATGCTGGGTACTGATGCATCCCTCGTCTTTCATCGTTGTTGGTGATATTCATTTGCCGCCGCGCTCTGGCCGTGCTAGAGCTTGTCAGACGCATACAACCCTGATTCGCTATTCCCCCGAAATCATCGGCACCGCCCAAGCGGTGCACGACCTTTCCTCGGCCACTTGACGAGGGGTTCTTTCTTGAAATTCCGCACGTTATCGCTGCGGTTCCGAGATTTTATTCGCGGCAAAAGATGCCTTGTGGAAACCGCCATCATGCGACTCGTTTTCAGCACACTGTGCAGTGATCGTTCTATAGAAACGTCTCCGCCCGCGCTTACAGCACTCTCGGCGCGTTGGGGGCGAGTATCTTTCACAGTGAGGGCAAATCACTGATACAGGAGGATTCATCCGACAAACGCTATCATTCTTTGACCCGCACAGGAACCATGTATCACAGCATTTTATTTTCATCATAGCCAACTGCAGCAATCCCAATCGATGCACAGAGTGGTTGACAATTCAACATAATGTAATATTCACATACCCCCAACATGATGATAATCTCACTCCTCTTCCCTCCGTCACTTTGTACCTCGTTGAAAAGCCCGTTGACGTCGTTGTATTCGTTGATCTTGAAGATCGTGTCGGCATCTTCCCGAACGCTGGAGCTAATGACCAGCCTTTTGCCGTTAGACACCAAGTACTCCGTACTCGGCCACTGCTCCGTGCCGCTGGTTGGTCAACGTTGAACAACTTGTTGGTAGAATATAGTCGGAGGGGTAATGATTGGTTGGGAGCGAGTTCATCGCCATTGTTCTGCTGCGAGGTACCCTGTATTTATGGGTCAGGAGCCTACCAGGCCAACGACGGTTTTAAGATGTAGTCGTTATGTTGTGGTCGTCGTCGTCGTTGGTGCTGATACTGGGTACTCAAGCTCCTCGTGTTGTCACGTCTTTCATACACAAGCGCTGATGCATACGTACAAATACAACACTATTCATCCCATGTTTTTATCAGGTCTGATCTGAATTCACGCAGAAGAACACCGACCTGCCCTGTTCACCTTACTCGAGATGCCGAAAGATACGAAAGTAGCAGTCAGACGGGTCTCCACGTCGACAATATCGACTGTGACAATATATAACATTGTGAAATAGCTGCTTGTCAACACATGAGACAAAGTGTTTGTCGGGCAAGACGTTTCTTGCACCGCACAATAGGATATCTTTACCTGATCTCTTTCCATGTGATGAAATCAAGAGGTCCAAAAACCATGTCCGTCCCGAACACTTCCGTGATGCAGTCGGGCAATAGGGTAGCCTGTTCCGTTTGTGGGGTCGACCCCACGCAAGCGGGCTTGTCAAAAAAAAATAACACGCATTGACGACTCTCGCGTTTAGGTTTGTTGTCATTTCCGTCGCTGAATCTGTTATTGCTGTTGCGGTTGATATTCTTGTTGTTGTGTGCTGCCAGTTACGTTTCATCGCCTTCCGCTCCCCCACCAACCGGGCGAAATCGTTCTTGTAACCACAGTTTGACAAACGCTCAGGGGGTCCCGTAAACCAATTTCCCTTAAAATGACGAGCACAATCAACCACAGGGAACACAACACTGTTTGTTTTCTGAGGACAGAAGTATGGCACGTCATGGATGAATGTCGATGACGTTTAATATCCACGCATAGAACCGATCTCTTTCTTTCGGGAAGACATGAGGCGATCTTCGACCAAAACCACAAAACACTGACTACGAGATTAAGTGAGACGATGAAATCGACGATAGACGGTCGGCTCACCTCCCACCCGAAAATGTGAGCTACACAAGGTACTTGAATCTCGTATTGGCAAGGGACGCGTCAGAACATCCCTGCTAGGAAAAGAAAATGACGCGAAATCTTGCAGGGATATATTATTTATTCCTTCTCGGGTCAGACCCCGACTTCGCCTTCGTGCCTCCCGTATCCCCAAGCATACTCTGTCTCTGTCACAACTCTCGCTCATTGCTTTGGCGTCACGCCTTCGTCTCGATCACAGCCACAAATCCGACTGCCCTACCGTATCACGTTTGGGAGAGATGGACCACTACGGCCGCCCTTTGGTCGATTTCTACGCTACTGCACAACTAAGCCACCGTGAGATTATATGGCCCCACAAGCAGTTGCTGAAGCATCCCGCGGAACAAGCAGAACATACACAGACGTGATCGTTTCAGGATTGAGATAGTCCGCCCATCCACCGCAGTGGCGCCGGTGAAGTTCTCACGACGAGTTATAATGATATTGGTACAGTAGTGGGCCCCCTATAGTGCACTTTGAATAGTGCAACCGCCCGATATAGTGCAGGTAAAATCTCTGCGCACAGACGGCGCCCTCAATAGTGCAGGATCTGCACTATTGAGGCAGACACCCGATATAGTGCAGGTAAAATCTCTGCGCACAGACGGCGCCCTCAATAGTGCAGGATCTGCACTATTGAGGCAGACACCCGATATAGTGCAGGTTGGGCACCACGGTGCCCCGCAATTGTGCAGGTGGAGAAACATTCACACACACACACACACGCGATCAAGAGAAAAACAAGACACACACTCACGAACAGCGGATAGACGCAACACAAACGCGGCGCGCGTGCTGCTGCAGACCCGAAGAGCTGTACGCAGCGCAGAGGCGCACCATGCCTTGTGCGGACGGTGAGCTGTGCCACCAACCAGACAAGACGCCGCAAGCCCCTCATGGCCACGTCTGTCATGGAGGATGTGGCGGGCGGCTCCACGGCAACTGCGGCAGCATGGTTGGCGACATCGAAACAAGGCGAATCTGCTGCTCGTGCGTCGCAAGAGCTGGCAAGCGCAAAGAGATACCAGCTGAGGGTGCTGAGGGTGCTGGGGCGGGACCATCTCAACGCCCGACGAAGAAGAAATTTCTTCCGGCTGCGATGAGGAAGATGAAACGGAAGATGGCGGTGGCGGTGAGAACACGGGGCGCGAGCGCCGTGCTCCACCGGCTTATAGTGAGCTGTCACCTCACTTTGGCGTCCTGGAATCGGCAGCAGATGAAAGTGGCAATGGAGACGCGGCGTTCCATCTGCAGAAAGCAAAAATGGCGATGATCGCAGCGCATGCCGCTAAGCGGGTGCGCCAGGCAGACATGAGAGAGTTTGTCGAGACGTAGTGAAGGCGGTGGGTGTACGTGGTTGTTTTTTTTTCCTTGCAGTCAGCTTCCTATGCGCCTTTCTCGTTTCTTTTTGTTTTTTTTTCCCGCAACATCGCAGCGGGTGCGCCGGGCAGTCATAAGGAAGTTTGTCACGACGTTAGCAAGGGTGCGGGGTGCATGCTTGCTTGATTTTTCTTTGCAGTGACCTTCCTGCATGTTTTTCTCTCGTTTTTACTTGTGTTTTTTTTTCTTGCAACATAGCAGCCGGTGCGGCAGGGGTCAGATAAATTGGCACGACGGAGTGAGGTTGCGCCTGGCTGGTTGTGTGTGTGTTGGTTTTTGCTAAATCGAAGCCAGGTGCGCCAGGGAGACATGAGAGTTTGATCATCACGTAATGATGGCAGGGGCCAGCAGTACATACATGGTTGCTCGTGTTGTTGCAGTGGGCTTTCTGTCGTGTTTTTTTTATACACGCAAGTCTTTTTCTATCACCAACATCGAGGTAAGGCAGGCAACGAGGACTGAGAGTTAGCTTCGTCCACTATCAATCCACAATCTCGATCCATTTCGTACTCTGTTGGCCCCGCAAAGCGCGGACGCCACACTCACAACGTGAAGTCGAAGAGTGCCTCAATAGTGCAGAACCTGCACTATTGAGGAATATTAAAAGCCCCAATAGTGCAGAACCTGCACTATCGAGGGCACCCTTTTCAGTAGTGCAGGTGCCTGCTATAGTGCAGGTAAATTCTCACGACAGACCCCTGCACTATATAGGGCCCACTACTGTAGTTGTCTTCCAACACGAAACGATGCATAACAGAAAGCCCTGCCCAACCTCCGTCAAACCATATGCTAAAGAACATCACCCACTCTGTTTCCGACGTAGGCCTCGAGTTTGATGTACAGCAGCTCTTCGGAGTTCTCCGGTAGATTCATCCAAGCGGCAATCTCCTCAAAGGTTTGCTTGAGAGTACGGGCAGTGTTCGGGCAGCCGGTAGCGTCACCGTAGTCATAGATGCCCAAAGCCTGGTAACAACAGTGCCGGATATGTCATTAGTCCCGGGAAGACTAGCCGTGAATCTGAAAGGTCGTACCTGTACTGACATTGCTGGCAATCGAGCGGTTGAGCAAAGTCGTGTTGCTCGCCTCCATCACTATTGCTGATATTGGAATACATCCGTGGAGCACCATTCCTACTCCGGGCGGAGATACGGACAGTAGGAGCCTGGAAATGTTCGATTTTCAGGAAATATTGTGTGCATACAGGTTTCTTGTATCGTCCCCTTCCTTTGGCTATCCGGGATCCCTTCTGAGCTCCCCTGTTTAGTACAACGATCGTTGATCAAGTGTACCATGCATACCTCTAGACGAAATCGCGCCCAAAAGAAAAGCTAATGATGATACGTGGGTTTTCTTTTGTGCCGTCCGATGGCGTTGGAATGGCCGTTATTCCAGCGTACGATGATACCTAAAGTTCGCGGTTGCTGGTAAGATACTTGTTTTATCCACCTGCCAACAGCGTTGGGTAGACTGTCGTTCCCGTTGTTCAAATTGAAGGGTAGTCGTGAGTGGCGGTGGTTGAGTTCCATTCCAATATCCACTGTGTACGTCCTACCTCGCAAAGGTACCAGTGCAGACGGGAACACGCTGCCTGTATCTCGACGGCATATGAAGAATGGGTGTGACACACAAGAGTGGCTTCGCCCTCGCTTGCACCGTACCGTGCAAGCTCCTCGACGAAATGGATGTCCAACTGCGGAACGCAGGAGTAGCAACACACAGCGAAAGGAAGTGCCCCCAGCATCACAATGGACTAGACACGATCGGAGAAGGCACGAACGTAAGACACGTGTGTCTCTTACACAGATATATGCATGCAAAATTTATTCCAGCCTACGGTGCGAGGGAAACTCTACGATGGAACGGGGAGTTGAGACGCGTGCTTAGGTTTGCACCCGTTCGCCTCTGCCACCGTACTTCGCCACCCAACTTCACCATTTTCTACACCGAATAGGTGTTTTCAGGGAAACGCGGGGGTCACAACGCGACAAGGAAGGTGAGCCATTCATCTTCGGTGGAATGAACCGTCAGTACGTTAGTTGGTAGCATCTACGTGTACAGAGGTTACAAATAGCGCACCAGAGAAGAATTGTGGTCTTTGCGTTCAGGTATTGTGGCGAAACTCCACGTGAGCGAGTACCCGTGGCTCAGTCATTGCTTAGACATTATCCGACAAACGACGGCCTTACTGCAGAATGTATGGTTTCGTTCTGAAGTGGGTAAAGTATTGAGCTGGAGTTGTACACGGAAGAGGGAACTGCCTGAACAAGCTTTGGCCAGAAACGTACGTCTTCGATGAAAAGTATTCTGAACTGCACGAGGAAGCGGTCCACGCACGACGGTCAACCACTCCCAAGCGAATCTAGCAGAGAAAAACAAGCATGTAGATTATTCGCCTTCGTGTCGTCCCCCCCTCGTGCTTCGAATGAACAATGTGGAAATAAACTGACGTGCTTGTTAAACACTGTTGTGAGAAACGGGGCATCATGCGATATGGGTTGCGTGTACCATAGTATTGGGGTTGCGAAGTCGTGCTGACAAGGTTCCCTCTCTTCCACGTTGGGCGTGTGTGCGTTTCCAGCTGCGTGCTGGCCTTTGAAAGCTACGGCACGCACTGATTGTCGCCATTCCCGGTCTTGGTCAAACCTATCCTTCTTCTATGTATCACAAGTGCAGTGTGGAAAAAAATCACAACACAATAATAAAAGACGTATGTCATACCTCGAGTCCCCTAACTCCAAGGCAGGACAGCTGCTGCGTCAGGCTATACACTTGGTTGGGCACTACCTGCAGGAAATGTTGGGGATTACGCACACAAGCAATACCGTGTGAGGGATATTCAGCGACATACGGCCGAAAATGTTTACTGCCCGTACCACCACTTTCGGTCAGAGCCCGGATGGAACATATTGGGTTCTAGTTATCACCCAGGTATTGACTACACTGAGCAAGTACATTCCACAAGGTGTAGGGTAAGTTGCATCCAAAGCATCCTGGTCTTAGTAGATCTTCTTACAACCAACAAAGAAAGCAAAAACAGCAAGGGTTGCGATCAACGCCGTGCATAGTGCGAAAACCCAATGTACCCTCACGGGTCGTGAGGTAGGATAGGTCCTGCACTCGTTCATCTGCCGTACGAACCTTCTCCCTTCATCATAACACTTTTCGAGTGCAAACGCATGCAGACATCAAATTCACTACTTCCCCGTTGATGAAAGCCACACCACCAGTGGGAGAGAACGTCAACTGGCGTCATTATGAAATACTAGATCGTTGAGAACTCTAAACCGCTTACCTCCCATTCGATGCTCACTCCTTCCTCTTCAGTATTGTACGAGTTGTGAGTTGCGATCACGGGCACCTGATCCAGCGGCATGTCATACCTGTAGGAAGACGCATCCGCAGTGGTAAGACTTCCGATTATGCCACGTATTTGCCGCACTAATCCGAACCTCACTTCTACGGAGGGAAAGATCTCTGTTGGAAAGTGGAAGGGGGGGGCTACGCCTTCCATCCCCTGTGGCGTTGGTGAAGTCTTCATCAAAGGCCAGTAAAAAGGTGTTTGTACCTAGAAATTGCCATCGAGCTAGAGGCCACACGGTTTTTGCGTCGAAACTAGCATCTGGAACTTGCCTTAGTTATAGGAGCTTAGTCTCAACGGAATACGGTGGCAAGCAAGTCCATGTAGACTCAGCTCTTTTTTCCGTTAAAAAAGTAGTGCTTCAAGTCAGAGAGACAAAACCCGTTTGGAGAATAATAAGGGGATCTCGTCACCATGAGGGCGAGGGAAAATGGTGTGCAACCCGTACTCTAAGCCCTAAAAATCAGTGTTCTCCATGACCGTTTTCATCCGCTTCTCGAACACTGTTGTAACCATTGGTGTTTTTCTTCAACCTTTTATCTTGAACGGTAGCCGCCACTGTATGGTCTTCGAAGATGGTTGCAGCTCCCAACTTCTACAAGGCTAAGCTGTTCCCACACATTCAGCACACACCACAAGCGTGAGGACAAAGCAAAATAATCATTTCGAAGTATGACAAATCAAGAGCTCTCGAGCTGCCGGCCACTCACGCTAGGAACCGCTGCAGGGCGGATGCGCGAAGCAGCCACGGCGACGTGTTCGGAGATTGCTGCTGGGCGGCGCTGACTGTGCCACGAAAAGGCAAGTTTATCGCCCACCACCACCAAAATACCGTCTTCGTCGTCGCAGAAGTCGCAGACGGGGCAACCCCCGTCCGCTGCCGCTGCCGCCACCACCGCCGCCTCCACTGACTTGGTTCAATAGAATCGGCAGCCTTCTCTCCGTTTTGCTGGCTCGAGCTCCCTCTTCTCTCAACCCCCCGATTGGGTCCGACATGACAAGCTCTACTCACACGTGGCAGCAAAGGGATTGCCGTCTACTGTGGAGCGCGTTGGGAACTTGCCAACTCCTTCCTGTTGTTGCACAACTATCTGGGTGATACACCGTTGCTGGAAGGCCTGATGGGTTCGTGAGGATTGTGTCGACAAAACGTGCCCATAAGGACATGGGCGATTTCGTGGTCCATGTCGACAAGAGGAGAGCAGTCTGAGGAATGGGACCGCACTACATAGCAGAAGATTGCCATCAGACAAGCATACATGTAAGCAGTTGACTGCATGTGGAATGATACGTTCCTACACTGGACTGCAGCTCACGTTCACATGTTTCGCGAGGTGGTGCGAGGGATGTGGAAGTACGCTGCTC